AAATATATTGATTCCTGAGATTTTATAGTTATATTAAATATAAAAGAAAATATTCCTCTACAATCAAATCCAAATTTAATCTGAACAATGATTTGTTTATGAGAAGCACATAAAATTAAGAAACGTATTTTTTTTATAACTTCTTTTATAACCCCATATCTAGAAGCGATCATCTATTTAACTTTTAATTTATAAAAGCAATCCAAATATAAAGGCGTAGATCACATCATGCTTGACTTGGTATCTTGACAATGAGATGCGATAGTAGCTATAACCATAGGATTTATTCTATGTTGCAATCTGCTATATATTTATTATACTTCATATTTGATAAACTATTTTCATAGATTCGGAAAGTACCTGGGTTAAGAACAAAAACTTCTAAAAAATTTTTAAATAACAGAATAAAGTCATATTGGTACTAAACAAAAAAATATAACATAAAAATAAATATGATTATAAAAGTGGAAAACCAATAAAAAAAGAATGGAAAAATATGATTACCCAAAGATCAAAACCAATAAAAAAAAACATGATCTGGTAACTAGTGTGTCACTGAAGTAACTTATGATACAATTACTTATCGAATTATAAGTTTTCATTTTAGTTCAATATACTTTGTGAGAACGTTTCTGATCTATGCTGACAAAAATGGATTTTACTTAAAATTATTGATAATAAATGTAATGATAATAATGATAATAATGATAATAATGATAATAAATGTGTTTTGTGTGAAAAATATTATCATCTCGTTATATATTTTATTCAAACTATAAAAGTTGTTGCTTCATCAACAAATTTGTACGCGGTCTGGCATTATCTTGATGGAATACTATTATTGAAGTTCACATCTGAATTAATGGTAACATAGATCGGTAGAAGGTCAAAACAAAACTATTTGCTTAAAATTCCAACAAACGAACAGATTTATCTCTATGTAATTAACTTTAGTTTTTGAATAAATTTAACAGTCTCAGTATTTCAACAAATATGTGAAATGCTACTACTGAAATTTAAAAAGCCGTCAACAAAAAAATCGATTTAAAAAATCTCTATTCTTTTATTGAAATTAAAACATATACGGAGAATGAAACTGCGTCACAGAAAAAGAAACTGCCTTACAGAAAGAGAAACCGTCGCGTTAAAAAGAGAAGTAGGTTTAGAAAAGAGAAGTTGCGTCAAAAAGAAATAGGGTTAGAAAAACTCAGTGAGAGATAGAGTGAAAGAAAAAGAGTCCAAAGCAAAGAAAAGGTTACTAAATTGGAGAGAATAACTCCGAGTGAGAGATATAATGAGACCGAGTCAAAGACACTGAGACAATTTTATACATAGCTTATAAAAGGTTTATCTTACAACATATAAGAATATATACAATCAAACTTTCATAACTCGAACTTCTACAACTCGAATTTCTCTACAACTCGAACAAATATTTTGTTCCTAAATTACTGGATCCAATTCTGAGTGCGACGGAAAGTGATGATAAGGTTTCGGTGGATATAATTGTTCATCAACCTTCCAAGAACGAAGAAGAAGACTCATTCAAAATTCTGAATTTATATTTGCTAACGAAGGATACTACAACTGATGATTACTATAAGAGTATGAATAAAGTGGATTCTCTTTTTACAGAAAATAAGAAAAAAATTAAAGTCCCAAACTCTAATTTCTGAATATTTTACTTCACTAAAACTATAACTTAAAATATAATTCTAGTTTCTTTCAAAAATAAAAAAAAATAAAAAAAATTCTCTAACTCGAAGTCGAACCTTTTCTTTGCAAAATTGGACTTCGAGTTATGAAAGTTTGACTGTATTACTTTAATTTTATTAATTATAACAGTAATTATATATATTTTTAAAAAAAAAAAATTGATAATGATATTTGACATTTGCATCTGACTTTAATGCATCTAATATTTATATATTTTATATTATTTATGTCTTAAATTACAAATATAAAAAACGACACAAAATATAATATATAAATTAATATATTAAAACCATATTTAAGTAATTTATTCTTATTTATGAGCTAAAAAGTATAAATAAAATCCAAACCAAACAAAACAAAAATGTTAATACAAATGTTGACATATATGAATGATTTTTATTATTTTTTGCTTCTGTTTTTGTTTGTGTTTTGATTTTAGGTTCTCCGTTTCATATTGTTATTGTTTTTGTTATTGTTTTTGTTAAACCTGTAATACAAAAGAAAGAAACCAAAGTAAACCACATTAACAACAAAAGGATTCACACACAATAAATATTCAACAATGGGAATAGAAGTTAGCAAAACAAAAACCCAAAAAAAAACCAAGGAAAGTAAAACAAATACAATATCCCCACATACAAAACCACTAACAAGTAACAACAACAAGTGTTGCCGCCACTAAAGCAACAACAACACAATACACAATGCCGCACAGATAGTCACAATAACACACAAAAGCCAAAAGGTATCAAACGGTCTTTGAAGGCTATTGTCTTTTAACACATTTTGTTAGGCGTGATTTTTGCTAAGTTCTTAATGCATAAACACGCAGGAGAGGAGAAAAAAGAAGGGACAAACGATGGGAAAAAATATGCTTTGAGCTTTGAAAAAGGATTTCGCTTATCCGCTCTAAAATTGTTTGCGAATTGCAACAGGAAGAATTTAAATATAATTTCATATATAAATGAATATGTTTATAATAAATGTTAAAAACAATATGAAAAATATAATAAATAGAACGGATTAAATCTTGGAGTATATAGTAGTTTTCTTTGATTTGACTCTTCTAAAGTAAATTATCAGTGTAATAATTTTTAATAATATTTTATATATGAAATAAGGGATAAATGTTAAAAAAATTATTAAAATAAATATAATATAAAATTAATATATAAAACTAAATTAGCAGTAATTTTTTCTTTTAGAGTAAGAATAAAATAACATTAAGTCTGGTTGAAAGAAATTGGCAGCACTTTTAAAATATGTTGAATGCTTTTATTTGACATATGTTTTTTGTTGTATTGTATACAATATAAAATATAAAAATTGTACACAAAAAATTGTTAATTCAAATAAATTAAAATTAAATGAATATAAGAAAAGCAATGGTGAGCATTTTTATCTTGTATATTAAATTAATTTAATTATATATTTGAACTTATTAGTAATTGATATGCTCATATGACTTTAACGGATGACTTGAATTTTGCAAAATATTTCCAATGAACATTCACAATTGATTTTTCAATTTAGTTGCACTAAAACTTAACACTTAAACATTTTTACGAGTAAAACATAACTCTAAGGATTATAAGAGCATTGTTGTTGCATCACGTATTTTCTTTCGTAAGTTGTGAGTATTATTTTTGCTACTCTGAAAGTAAAAAATACGGCTATTATAACATTCATAGCTTAGAATATACAATAATACACTTTGATATTCATACTAGGCAATGTATTATAATTTCTCTCAACACATAAAATATTATGTGTTATTATTAACTAATATAAGCATAGATACTTTATTAATAAATTCAAACTTTTAAATGTAATATATATATAAATTCCCATAAACTCCTTGGAGGAGCATTAGAACGTACTTTTATATATACATAGCGTACAAAACATCTTTTTTGAAAATATATACAGAAAAGCTTAGAGTTAATGGTAAAAACAACGTTAATTCTAAATAGTATATTGATTCTTATACTATCGTTTGCAGAGTTCAACAAAATAATAAGGGGAAATATCTTCGTTTAAGTTTTATTTCCGATTCAATTAAAAAACATATATCTCTTCAGTTCTGGTTCAGTTATCGGTTATTTTCAGTTCTCAGTGTAGTTTCAAATAACTATTTTTGGAAAATTTCTTTTATAAAAAAGTGTTTTTGTGTCATGTTTTAAATCATTTAATTTATTTTTTTATAGAATAAATATTAAAAAATCTTTTAAAAATATTAAAAAATTAATATTAAAAATATTAAAAAAAAAATTAATATTAATATTAAAAAAATTGTCAAACGGATAAATTTATAGCGATATCACATGTAGTCATACAGCTCATACATATCATAACTTAAGATATTTGAGTGTTACTAGCAAATTTTTAGAAATAATTCATCTCAATCTCATGGACTGAACTCATTTCCTCAAAATTAACAGCTCCACAGAATTTTGGTCTAGTTTTTGAAAGCACAGAACAGAAACAGAAGAAATGTTTCAAAGTCTCTATTACATTTATTTATTGAGTTTTATTAATATTTGAAATATTTTGGTAGCAATAAATTTACATATACATTTTGTAAAACGAATACGAAATTTCAAAAGTCTTTTCTTAGAATTGATGAACCAATATGTGACAGTCTGTTTTCAAAAAAAAAACATATTAAATCGCTTCTCTAATATTAATTTATCTAATATTTTTAAATATTAAATTAAATTATCTTTTGTTGACTTTATCATGAACTTTTTCGTACCTTACAATTTTAATAATATATGTTTCCATTTACATTACAGATATATCCAATTTAAAGATAGGCTTTCAAAGCCAATAATGTTTTAATTGTTCTAAAACTTAAAAAAGTTATGCTTAAAAATTATCTTTTTTTTTAATCGTCCTACAAAAACAAAACTGAATATATAAACACAATACAAACATTACAGCAACATGCAACACCAATTAAAAGTACATCGAAAAATCAAATGAAAACAAACACACAGATTGTTAAGATTGATTACTTATCTCTGAAATACCTGACATTCCAACATTTTCTCAACTCTAATCAGTACGGAATATTTACAATTAAATTCTTTTTATATAGACAAACACGCCCACTTATACTTACTGACATTCAGGGGTAAGAGTGCACTTTGCATATGACTAAAAATTTGACGATGATGATGATGATGTCCTCCAACACTGGAACCACTAAAAAACAAGTGATTCTGATGCAATGCCAGTTGCTGATGATGATGATGGTGGTGGTGATGATGATGATGAGCCGCTTGTTGTTGCTGATGTTGTTGCAGCTGCGTATGCTGTTGTTGCTGTTGTGAATGATGATATTGTGGGTGAACTAAAGCATGATGACCATTTTGTGGAGCTGCTACAGCTGCTGCCGCTGCTGCAACTGCTTGCAACGGATGTGTTGGTGGCGGTGGTATTGTTTGTGCCGACGGTGGAACGGAACCAGTTGTTGTTGTATATTGGCGTGTTGTAGCAGCAACTGCTGCTGCTGCCGCTGTTGCTAGAATATGATGATGATGTGTTGTGGAGGATCGTTGATTTTGTACTGTATTTAAACTATGTATTGAAGCATGTACTGCAGATTGATAGATAATGCCATTATTCGACATAGCCGTCATCGATTGATGATGGTACATGGTAGGTCCGGTAGGCGGTGCTGCAGCTGCAACTGCAGTAGCCGATACTGTTGTTGCTGAAACTGGTGCTAATGGCAACGAACGATAACCTGCCATTTTTAGTTGTATATATTTAAACTAATTGTATTTATTATTCAATTATAATTGTTTTAAATAGTTTATTTTTAAGTTTTACATTTTTTTAATATTTTTTTTGTTTACTTTTAATTGTTTTCTCATTGTAATCACTTCACTAGAATTAATAATTTTTTTTCATATAAAATACATATATTTACAGAATAGTCGTGCTAAGGTAAGTCTTTACACCACAAACGCGTTTTCTAACTAATTTTATAACTTAGAATTAAAGTGTTGATTATTTAAATTCAAAATACATAAGAATTAAATTCCATAGATAATAATTCGGTTTATATTATATTTTTATCTTACAAGACAAGTCTTATCTCCCAGCATCAACAATTTAATATCACATTTATTTACTTTAAACTCATTTTTTTTGAGTTTCATCTTATTTTATTATTATAATTTGTATATAAGAAATCTTGCAAAATATTTAAATATTAAAAACATCTAAAATGGTAAAATTTCCAGTAACTTTTATCGGCCATTTGACTTACTCAGTAACCTTATTTATATTGACTTTGACTAAATTTGTTTAAATGTCTTCATTTATGACTTTTTATTAAATATACAAACCCCTCGTATTACAAATTGATTTGAAAACACTTTTACATTCAAAATTAATAATAAAGTTTTAATTACTTTTCACAATTTATTTTCTTAAATAGATTTTAGATTAGAACTATTAGAACTAGAGTTACGAAATTATTACACTTTTATATAATTATTATATATATATATAATTAAATACGTATTTATGTTTATTAAACTATTAAACTACAAAATTATTTTTAAGGAAATATAAAATTATTTAAATATAAATATTTTATAAGTATACATTATAATATGTGATAAATATTATTTATTAATTTTTTTTTTTTCAATATAATTTGCACTCCGCTCTTTTTTAATGCTTAGAATTTGTTAGATTAATAAACATTCGTTATATTTATATCAAGAAAATAAATAAAGTTTTATTTACTGAACGTTGTTTTACTCGAATTTGTAAGTGAGTAAAAATATATTGTATGTAGTATGTACTATATATATATATATAGTACTATATATATGAACGTACCATATATTTTAAGAACAAATCAAATTAAGTTAAGCATTTTAATTTACCAATTATTTTTTGTTTTGAAAATTAAATAATAATATAAGTAATTAAACAAACAAATAACTGAACTGAAGAAATACTTTTGTTTTTTTTTATTTCTAAGTCACTTTTATATTTTACGATTTAGAGAGTATTCCTTTTTAGGTATATATTATGCCTTAGACTTAACAACGTTTATCAAATCAAAATTGTTTTTAGAAACAGGTTTTAGTCATATTTAATTACTACATCATCGTACTTAAATTACTTTATTATTACTTATTATTCATTATATGTATGCATATAGTATTTTTTTATATATATTACATATATATTTTGAATTCATTTATCGACCTGTTTTTTTAATAATGGTTTTTATATATTTTACAATAGAATGAAGAGGATGACGCTTAGATATAGATTTCATTAATATAAATTTATATTAGGTTCTGATGATGACTCCAAAGAATCGTCGAAATAAAGAATATATTAAATAATATTAAACAAACATTTAATTTTAATTTTAACGAAAAGTGAGCTATAACCGGATAAAAAATATATAAAAACCATTATTATATATATATTTCTTTTAGCATAATTTAATATGTAATCGTCTTCAAATTGCACCAAATTAAGAAAAAAATATTAGTTTTGAAATTATGAATAAATTATTTGTTTAAAATTCAAATAATAACGTGAGAATTAATTAATCCTATAAACAAGTTCATTCAAATTAATAAATAAAATAATGTTACTCATACGCACATGGGTACGCTTAAGTAAACTTTAGATTGAATTGAAAAGAGAACTATATTTATAAAAAAACTATTCTAAAAGACATTTCATATAGAATAAGAAAAATATGAATAATGCACAATTAATTATTGAAATAAATTTTTTATCAAACATTTTTTAATTAGATATATTTTAATATATGAAACATTTACATTTTTCGTAATTATTTTAAAATTTTTGTTTTAATGACCATATATTGTTAATAATAATTTTGTTTTTTAATGGGCTAATTGGACAATAGTTAAATTATACACTTTTAAATAGTACTTTTTGAATTATATAGTACCCTGATGATGACTATAGAATATAGTATAAATCTCGGTTCAAATAAAATCTCTTAAAAGACAAAAAGTTTTAAAAAATGTATTTTTAACCTATTGACCAAACTCATTATAAAACAAAATTATTATAAATATTTTAAAAATTATTTTGAAATCAATATACAGGGCTAATGAGGACGTTGTCGTCTTTGAAAGCATACATGTTTGCAAACGCATATGAAAATTATATTCAATTCTTAAATAAGAGATCTTAATTAACTAACCTAAAATGACAAAAAAAAATCTCACAGAAACCTTTAAAGTGCACAACTTCATATATTAAAAAAAATTTGGAATAAAAATTAATATATTATAATAATATTAGTGAAAGTGAGATTTAATAAAAAAAAAGTAATTAAGATATAATTAAAAGTAATATATCAAGAACATATATTAAAAAAATTAAATATATTGTTAAAAATATACGCGTTCGTACATTAACAACTATCCGTCATATTGCGTCTATTGTTGGACTATTGTATATTAAATATGTATATACATATATAAATTTATTTATGGTCATCTCAAAATTCAATTAATTAAAATAATATCAAGAAAGAATTTTTGTTGTTGTAGTTCACTACTTTTCGAAACCTTTCTACTAAATTTATTTGTTTAAAATAGGTCTATACAATATAAATATTATATTAAGAACCATAATAATAATAAAGGAGTTAACTGTTTGGAATTTGTCTTTTAAACATATATAAATATGTTAAGTATTCCATTGCAAATACATATCTGTAACAGTAGCAATAGTATATATTGTAAAAAGTAAAAAGAGTGATCTTCTAACAACAAAAGGAATAGTTCAAATTTTATGAACTATAAATAGTAACATTTTACCATATTTGACAATAAAAATGTTACTTTCTCATATATTAAATACTTTCATCCTGAAGCAAATACTGTGACTCACTACGTGGTAAATATCCGAGAATATCGCAAGTCGTCTGTAAAAATACATAGCGATAAAAAAGAAACAGATAAGTAACTAATCCAATAAATAGTCATTTAAATACAGATAAAGTCTTCAAGATTTGACATGAAACTTTAAACAGTTAGTCTGAACAAAAGCATTAAGAAAGGAAATACTTTAGTTAATTATTTTCAAAAGTAGAATTACTGAGTAGTCATAATCAGGATAACAATTCCATGATTCGAAAAAATCGAAATATCATTGTATCAAATACAAGCAAATATTTGGATTCGTGTCGACCTCAATACTTTAGTGTGATAACATTGAAGATGGTCTACAAAGATGGACCAAAATATCTATTAATAATATATATTATATAAGTTAACCACTGTAATATTTTTTATTTAATTTTAGGTTTGTTTTTATATGATATAAGTTATAATATAAAAATATGATTTTAATAACACAACCTAAAGCCCGACAAAATTCAAATATAGAAGAAAATAGTTATTCTAAAAACAATATTTTAAAAAGACTGAAACTTAGAAGATACAATACGTTTTAAAAATCATCAATAAAATATTTTAATATCTGAAACTTTTATTATGTTATTAAGCAATATTGCATAAAAATTATAGCTAACAGTGGAGCGGTCAAGAACAATTAACGTCTGTGAAGACCAAATAAATGATATTAAAATTATATGAAATTTTTAAATCGGTGGTAATAAAATTGCTTAATTCTATGAATGCTTAAACTAATTCAGACTTGCACTCTCTTAAAACAAGTACAATCTATATTTCATCAGAAAGTTATTAAGCTGTTCCATCAGTAATAGTACAGAATCACCTGAATAACTCGTTAACATAATTCAATATTACATTAGTAATCAACTAAGTGGATTACCTAAGTGGTCACAAATACTATTTAGTAAAAATGCTTTAGACTTAGAGAAGAAAAATAGTTTGGAAATTGTTCAAATTTAAGAGTGACATTTCATAGACTAGATAAATGACTAGTTTGATTCAAAACTTTCAATGCATCACTTATTTTGCTATAGAAAAAAGTAACAATTTGTAGTGATATTAAAAACTTATTTTCGAACGAACTATTCCTTCGTTCGAAAAAGCATAATAACAATAACAATAGCTAAAGATCTGACCTTAAGCAATTTATTATATATATTACAGTATAATACAGTATATTATATCTATTTAATAACACTAAGGGGAAGAAATGAAGCCATATCACTTACGTTTAAAAATTTACTTGAACTAATATATATTTTAACAAAATAAAAATTATATTTACCAAAAAAAAAACTATATTATCAAAAATAAATATTAATTTAATGCAATATGAATTTATAATAAAAATAAAAATGATTTCAATAAAATAAAAACTATTTTAACAAAGAATTAAAATCATTTTAAAATATAGTAAGTAATCAAATAAACACTTTATGAAAAGTGATATATTGATCCAACAGACATTAAAGAATGTCTTTAAAAAAAAATTTTAACCATATTTTTTAAATATTCTCTAAATTTTTTAATAATGAGAATTTAGACATATTTTTATAGATGTGGATATATCATTATAGCGTATTATATATTCCATTTTATTTTTTTTTTATTTTTTAGAATATATTTTTTTCATCTACTTTATGTATACATATAATATAGTTTTTTATATATAATTATGTTATATTAATATTAATATTAGAAATTTTATATATTAAGAATAATATTTAAAATGTAGTTATACATTTAAGCACCTTTGCGCTGCTTTTTCTTCTTTTCATAACATATTAAATTACAACATTTAAAATATTAAACAAAAT